TAATTTAAAAAAAATATTTATAATATAGGATCATTTAATAGTTTGGAATGCAATTTATTTATTGATACATTATCTTTGGTCAATATTAATGTAAGTTCAGCAGATTTATATGGAATATTAGTAGAATCTATGTGTCGAAATATTAAATTGGTGGAAAAATGTTTTGAAAATCAACTTCAAAGGTCAGAAACACCCATAAAACTTCCAATACCTATACATTTTAAACCTCAAGGTTTTGGACATTTGATTACAGTAGTCTATCCAAATGGTTATAGTGATAAAGAAACAAGTAAATTTTTCTATTTCATTATGATATGAACTTTGTCATATTTATATAATATAATTTACATATCTCATTAAATTTCAGTAGAATATCGTGAAAATTTACATAAAATTTTGGGATTAGATATGACAAGACCTTATTTCCGTTGCGGAAATGCTGTGAAATTTTGTAATGATTCAAAAACAGAAAATATACTTATAAATCCTCATGAAGCAATTGTGGTAAAGGATGGTATGTTTAATAATAAGTATATAAAAAATGTAATAATAAGTACATTTCTCTTTTAATTTTTATTTCAATTTCTATTTTTAAATATTTTTTTATAAATTTCTTTATTAGATATAATAAACAGCAATTGGAAAGTACAAATTGTACAAGGCTTATATATATATTATCATTATATGCAAGATAATTTTGATGATAATGGGTGGGGATGTGCATATAGATCTCTACAAACTATTATTTCATGGTTTAGGTAATTTTAATATATAATAAAATAAATATATAAATTTTATTTAATTTTATTTAATTCTAAATTAATTATTACAGATTACAAGGTTACACTGAAATACCAGTACCATCACATCGTATAATACAAAAATGTTTAGTTGATATAGGCGACAAACCTTCAAATTTCATTAATAGTAAACAATGGATTGGTTCTACGGAAGTAGGTTTTGTATTAGAAAGTCTTTTGGATATCAGTGTTAAAGTACTCTGTGCGTCTACAGGTGAAGAAGTATCATCATTAGCTCCAAATCTACTACATCATTTTCAAACACAGGGTACACCAATAATGATTGGTAATTAACTTTTTTTTATATTTGTTAATAAAAATAATTGTCCATTGTTTCATATATAAATAAATTGTAGGTGGAGGAGTATTAGCACATACAATTTTAGGAATTAGTTATGATCAAATTAGTGGAGATGTTAAATTTTTAATCTTAGATCCTCATTATGTAGGCCCTGAGCATTTGCCAACTGTAATAAATAAAGGATGGTGTGGATGGAAATCAAAAGATTTTTGGAAAAAAGATGCATTTTATAATATGTGTCTTCCTCAGAGGCCAGTATGTATTTGATTATAAAAATTAAAAATTCAAAAAAAGTTATACATAATAATAATATTGACAGTGTTCAAAATTATTTAAGATCAAATAGTGAATAAATAATGTAGTATATGCTTGAATGCTATAGATAATGTTATATATTATATATATAATATATGTTATATATATAATATCTACATACATATTTCATTATAAAATAGACATATACGTAAAAAAGAATGCAAATTATATTTTATTATACAAATATTTGCATTTGACAATTGATATCAAAAAGTATATAATACTAAAAAAAACATTGTTATTTGTATTTCTTTTCATTTTATAGTTAAAATTAATTGTATATTAAATGCATTTTCAAAATAATTCTATAAATTAATTCTATGAATAACAATATTTAATGCTTCAAGTAATCATTCCAATTTCTTACATTGATATTGTTTTATTCTATTCTTGTAAAAATTTCGAGATATAATTTCTTGAAATTAATACTGTTGCAAAATTATATTCTTTTGTGATTAATTTTTACTTTATAAATTCTTTTCTTGTTAGAAACAAATTTATTCTACTATTACATATTTTAAAAGAAACTCCTAAGTTGATGAATTATTAAACATTTTCTAGTAATTTACTAGTAATATTTTTCTAGTAATATTTTCATTTAAATGATTATCTTTGTATGAAAATATTGTTTTAATTTATTAAATCTAAAAAAACTTATTAAATATAAATGTAAGTATTTGTATTTAGATATATTTTTAATTTCTCTAAACTGTTTATGAAAACAAATGTAACTTGTGATTTTTTTGAAAAATCATACACATGTTATTGGAGCAAAAAAAAAGAAAAAAAATACAAGTTCTTTTAAAAAAATAGCACAAAAATTTTTTATTAAATTTCTTTTCAAAACTTTTTATCAATAAGAATATCTCTGATATTTGAAATCTCTGATATATTGAAAATTATATAATTAATTTATAAATTAATATTAAAAATTAAAAATATTAAAATGATATTAAAAATATTATGCCTGCCATTGAAAGAATTTGTGTTGATATTTTTTGCAAAAACAGAAATTGATTTCTATAAATCTAATTTTTATAGTATCAAATATCTTTATGTTCAAAATAACTATTATACTTAGAAATTATTTAATATATAATAATATATATAATGTAATATTATATAGTATTTAAAAGAAACAAATATTATAACATTAGAATTATTATATGCTATATTTTTATGATTCTCTATAGAACTGAAGAATTTTATAACTTTGTAAATTTAAATGTACATTTTATATATATATATATTGAATTTTTTGTATAAATATATTTTAAAGAATTTTTGTTGAAAAAAATATATAATTAATTGTTATTTGTTCAATATTAAATAATTTTTTTATTAAAAATGAAATAAAAAATAATTTTATTTCCTACACTTTATAACACGAAACTATTATATGCATAATTTATTTAATATTACATATTTTTATACAGATTTTTGTAAAAGTTGTGCAAAACGATTTGTAATTAAAAGTGAAACATCTATAAATCTATCAACGCAATTAGTTAAACATGTTTCTGTTCGGCTGTCCAATTTGACTCCTGGTTTATCAATACATTTATCCCAACAAATATCGTTGAATTCATGAATCTAAAATTATATTAATATATTATATAATAATACAATAACAAAATTATATAATAACATAAAATTTGCATTTATCAAATATTTTATTACGAAATCTAAATTTAATGTTACATGTATAAATACTAATAAATACTAATATGCCGAATAATTAACCTCTTCGACGTTTTTAGAACAAATTTCAAATTGCTTAAAAATATTTATAAATATTAACTTTAAATAAATTTTAGCTTTAAATTATTTTAAAAAAACTATTACCTGAGCTTGAATTAACGCTTTCTGTTTTTCAGCTATAACAAATTCTTGTAATTCTCCACTTCCAATCTTATTATCTTCCATAATATCATCACTCATTTTTTGGATATATCTTATTTCTCTTATTTTTACTAAATAATTTATTTAAAATTTCCAAAATTTTATATTTTACTTTATTTCCGGCACACACGTGGTTTAATAATTGATAATTACTAAAATTGTTTATCAATGATAATCTAGTATTTTATATATTTCATGTATGTATGAACTAGTTCTATAAGTTACAAAATGTTACTATATAGTTACTGAACTGCATGAAAAATTCAATTATTATTCTATTATTATTTTAATTCATTATAAGAAAATATTAAACACAATATTAAAAAAATATATTTTAATAATAATATATTATATATTTTAATAATAATATAAATGTCCAATAGAATCAATTTAAAATTTCTTTTTATATAACTTAAAAAAAAAAATAAATTTATTATTTGAATAACTAAGTATAATTTTTGTATAAAATATAAGATGTACGAAAAAATAATATGAAGTATATTTTAATGATTAAAGAATATTTATTATATATTTTTATACATATTATAATTTTTCTATAAATTTATATGTTATTAATAAGGTTATATTAATAAGGTTATATTTTACTTTCTCATTTATATACATACATGTGTGTGTGTGTGTGTGTGTGTGTGTAATGTATAAAGAAATTCGTTAAAAAAAAAAGAATTTTTATTTTTAAATTATGTTTTTATATTTAAAAAAATTACATAACAATTTTAATGATGTTGTTAAAATATTAAGGCATAACTTATAATATTAAACATTTGAGAATATACTTTTATTTAATAATTATAAAAAATAATATATTAATTTTGTATTTACTAAAATCTTAATAATTTTATTTAACAATGATTTTATTCAAAATATATTTATTCTTTAATTTCTTTTTGATAAAATATTTTTCTACATTTTATTTGTTTTACAAATTTTCAAATTTAATTGACATTTATCAAAATATTTATATAATATGATTTTATAATAATTTATTGATATAATGTTCTAATTGATGGAATTTTATTATTTATTATAACAGATAAATCTAACTAATTTATAATTTTGATGATGAAAAAAATAAATCTAGATTCTCATGAACAATGATTTACATATAAATACGATTAACATCAAAAAATTTACTTAAATAAAATTATTTTATAAAATCATAAATATAATAAAATTTTATAATTAATAATCGTAATATATTATTAATATATTATTAATAATTGTGATGTAAATAAAAATTGTATAATTTAAAATTTGTATTTCGTCATGGTCATTAATATTTAATTAATCATTGTATTTGAATCATGCTATCTCATGATTTCATTCGTATATTATACTGTTATATATATATATGTGTATATATATATATATATGCAAATATGCATCACGTGCAATTGATCACACCACTTGTGGATACGGCCCTGAATGCCGGTAAGATTGTTAGCCGGCGCGGAACGAAGCGGCGCTGCATTTCAGGAACTGTCGCCGAGGCGTCATTACTATCGTGGTAGAGTCGTTGTTTTGAAACGAATACTTTTTTGAAAGAAAAAAAACCAAACAGAGTGAAATCATGTCTTCTAAATACGTTAGTATCGTTTGAGATATATCAACGTCACGGTGGTGTATGTGCGTGTATTAACTTTATTGTATAATCATTGACAATGACCGCGACCGTAGAGGACTATTACGACGGTTTCCGAACTTTTTCCTGGCTCGCTGATTTTATCGATGTACCAGTGGACCAGGTGAGAAATTTATGCCTTTTCCACTTTTTTCACATAGATATTATCTCTCTTATTTATCTTTCTACCGCTCAAAATGAGGGCGCATCAATCGAAGTTTACATTATGTTCGATATATGTATGTCATTTTTATTAAAAAATGATTGATATGCTACGCTTGATATTAAGATTGTCAGATTTTTCTCTTTTAAGTTTAAAAATTGTCATGCTTGAAATTAATAAATTATTATTAATTATCTTTCACATAAATAAAGTGGTTCCAATAAAATATAAGAAAAAACAATATTGCAATTTCTGATTCAATAATTCGAAGGATTCGAAGTATCTGCTAATAAGTTCTTTATGTTATAATTCATATGATATAAATACAAGTTATTGATATAAATATCATCATTGAAATTCCTTTTGCAAAATTGATACGCAATACTGTGAATTCATTAATATATTAGTTTATACATAATTCTGATGTAGTAAGTAGTTAGTTTTTATCTTTATTTAGCTATTCTATATAATTTATCAAGCTTTAATTATAAAATAAAAAAGAAATTAATTTTTAACGTTTCAAACACGCGATATGTATATTATATTTATTGTTGAAAGATATATAAACTATAAAAATAATGGTGTGACAGAGAAATTAAAAATACTAATATACGTACGATTTGTGGAAGTTTTTTGGCGTTTAATTTAATTAGAATGTGAACATAAGATTTTTATGTGTCTTGTTTTTTGTTTTTCTTGATAAAATCAGGATATTCATGTATATTTCAGATTGCAAATATTGATAATATTAAAAATCTTTTGATATAATATCATTATTATTAAAAGATAGAAAAATGTAACACATTTATTAAAGAAAGATATACGGCGAAGAATATGTATATTCTGTAAATAGAATGACCGGTGAATATATATATATTCGAAAGTGGTTTGAGCATCAAATGCAACAGTTGGGAAAAGCCGACTGTAACAAATATTTATCATGAATTAGTTATTTAAAAAATAAACATTATTCTTTTAATAAAAAGCAAAAAATAAAAATAGCAAAATTTTAATAAAAATATTATTTATTATTTATTATACATACAAATATTCATTTAAAAATATAATTGATTAATATTTATAAAATTAAAATAAATTAAATGAAGAAAATAAGATAATAATAAAATAATAATTAATAAAATAGATATTATTAATAATATTAATACATTCAAAATTTTAATAATATTTTGATGAATATATTGTACTGAATTTAAGATTTAAAAAATGTTATTAGTAAGTTGAATATTTTTCCAATACTGAATCATTTATAACAATTTAAGATTTAATTTAATTGAGATAAAATTTAATTGTATTCATTTAGAAATATTTCGTAAAATTGATGCAAATAAATCAGAGACATAAAGTAAAGTACATAAAGCGTGAGAAATTATTTTTTCATTATTCTAATAACTATTATCTGAAATATATTTTTTTTATTCTGAATAGTTAAAATATAGAATAATAGTTAAACAAAGAATAATTTTTTTAAAAGTAAGTTAAGTTTCAAAAATGATAAAAATTAAAAAATATTAAATTTATGAATATTACTTAAATTTAATAAAAATGAATTGAATTATGTAATTTTTGATTATTAAGTTGAGAATATCATCTCATTCTCATAAAATATAAAATATAAAGAAACATTTGGTCTTTTCATCGATAAGGCTTATATTATATTTTTTTAAGATACGGGAATAAGGCGATATTATACTGGCAATTCATAAACTAATTCAATCATTTTTTAAAATATAATTAATTAAATTAAAATATAATTAATGTTCATAAGTTCAATATGTTTTCAATATTTTAATCATTTTCCAAATTTATTCCAAATTTATTTTTAGAAAAATTATTTTTTATATATAAGATTATAAATAATTATAACATTTTAATTATATAAAAATAATAAAATAAATTTAATAAAAATATAATATTAATATAAAATAAAATTAATATTATATAAAATAAAAAAAATATTTCAAATAAAAGTTGTTAGACTTAACAATGGTTAAAAATAATGAAAAATTATAAAAAAAATTAAATTTATATAATATAATTTTAAAAAAATGTGAAATTACATCAATTTCATCTCTATATATTTCATTATAATCTCTAAAATGTTGGTAGCTTTTTTGGTAGCTATTTAAAGTATCTAAATTTCAAATCGATATCTATAATAATTTCGAAAAAAACAGCTTATGCATTATGTATTTTATTATATATATTTTAGGGTTAATCCAGTTATCTTACTTTTTTGCCAATTGAACGATAGTAATTGTATCCTGAAAATTGCTGTGCAATACAGTAAAGCAGCGGGTGTTTTCGCTTGTTTCAAACATCGTATTATTTTTAATAGAATTCGTTTTTCCATTATTTTTATTTATAGTGCATATTAAGAATTAGTTATAATACGTGAATTTTTAATTATTATATGCAATATCATGATGATATTGTTAATTAAATCCAAAATTATCCGTATTATTCCATAAATATAAAATTATTCTAATTTTTTTAAATACTTTATTTTTTTTTAATTTATTCTTTCGATTAATATTATTTTCATAATATTTATATACGCTTTTTATTTCATTTAATAATTTTTATTTAAAATATTTTATATTTTTATTAACTATTGTAACTGTTTTTATACAAAATATAGTTAATATCTAATATAAAGAATGAATTTATAAATTTTGTTTATTTATTGATTTGTTTATTCGTACTCTAATAAATTGAATTTATGTAAATAATATTTATGTAGAAATATCTATAAAAGTGATTATTATATGTATGCAAATAAAATAATTCAATTTCATAATAAAAAAAAATTGAATGCACTATTGAAATTTATAACCGTATAACCTATCGTAGTCTGTTGTTTAATTTTAGAGTTGCATGAGATACTTTAACGTCATCGATTGGAAGGAATGCAATTCGATGCAAGATGTTTGAATTTATTGTACACTTTGCTCGCAACTCTATCGTTCAATTGTATTCTCAATTAATTCCATTATCACCGATTATAATATTACTTTATAATATTAACTATTAGTTATTAATCATGAATAATATGCATACTCATATATAGAATAAGAATTATTTTTAATGTTAATGATAAAAGATTATTTTTATATCATAAAGAAGAAATCATATAGCCAAAATTAGTTACAGAAAAACACAAAAGAAAAAAAGAATAGAGAGAATAGGAAATAGTACGTATTTATTTCTTCAATATTCTACATAATAATGATATGATAATGATTGCATATGATTCATTCATCAGTATCGTTTGAGCACAACATGATTCTCTATTCCCTAGTTATCAATTTTACTGATTCATTTTCAATATAGCAAAGAAGCAGTCAATTCTCGAACGTCTATGCAAGGTGTAATCGAGAAATGATTATACTATATATAAAGCATGTATAGTATATGATTTATAAATGATTCTCAGCAAAGAATACATCGAAGGCTAAAATTGTAATGCAGCTTGAAGAATGCGTAACTGAATATGATTGTCTTTTATTTTTGAGAAGTGGCGGGAGTAAGTTACCGTTTTGTATCGAAGGACTTTTAGTCACTAGTAAGAATTGCATTAATGTTCCGTTATTTTGAAGAGTCACGAATAATGTACAGAAAAACATGTTTACTTTTGTTATATATAATATAGTCTCAATTTTAATAGCTATATATTCAATATTATGAATGTAGGAAATATATATGTATAATGTACAATATATGTTTGTAATGTAATGTTTTTTTTAGCATTAAAAATATCATATATAATTTTCGAATAAAAGCGGTTCGATGATTGAGATAAAAATAGCTCATACTAATACATGTATATATAATTTTTGTAATTTAATGAACCATATCGTCCATTACTAAATCGATTGGATTAAAAATGATTCGGACATCGGATCGCGAGAGTTAATTGTTCTTCGGTGTAAGATATAAATCAAACACCAAGTATTTAATTATTGGATATTTTAAACATTTGTAATTTGATCTTTGAATATATAATATATAATAATTTGATCTTCCTCAAGTTATTCAAAATATTGATTTCAGATTTTGATGACATTTGATGATGATTATTTTGAATATCAATTGTATTTTTCTAAATAGAATTTCTTTTAATTTTTTTTATTAAATGAATGCAAATTTTATAATTTTAATTAATGTTTTTTATCTAAAATTTTTTATTTAATATAGATTAAATTTTTTTTTTTTTACTAAATTTTTAAATGACTTTATCTAAATATATATTAAATCAAAAGTTTTTAATGAATTCATGGATTATCAAGAATCATATCATTTAACACCGTTTTTTTTTATAATAACGTTCAAAATTTAAAAAAAAAGAAAGAATATTCTTTTGTTTTTTATCATATTCAAATATAATTACTTAAAATTATATATTAAAACTAAATGTCTAAAATTAAAATATATTTTTTGTTTTAATCTTGAATTATATAATAATATAATTTATTATAATTCTAATATGTTCTTAACTTTATTAATTATATCATATAATTATTTGAAAATTAA